ATGCATGCCGATGCCTGACAATGTCTGCGCTGGTCCGTTTTCATGCTAGCCCAACTGAGCAGTGTCTGCAGGGCATACTTCACAGCAGGCCATACCCTGGCATTCTGGATGACACTGGTGTGTCGCAGTATGCCCAGCTAATTCCAAGGCCCGCGGGCAACACGGGAAAAGGTATTGAAACTGCCCACTGCGCCGCACCCCTCTCGAATCCACACCTCTCCTCGACCAGTCCCACCTTCCCCACAGTCGGGAAAGGCTGCCATTATTCAGGCCGCATGCTTGCCCCATAGTACTCCACCAGGTCCGGAAGTTCTGCAAGTGAGTTCTACATATATATATATATAAACCTTCAAGGGGTCCCCTACGATCCCCATTGGAAAAGCTTACTAAGGGTTAGTAGGGGATCAGGAGATATAATATAGGGACTACGTAGGGATTGTGTTCCCTTGTTCCCTACAAAGCACCTGTAAGACAGGGCGCGTAGACACCCCCGTGCCGCTCCTCGCTGGAGGATGGCTTCAGGCTCTGCTGCACTGGTGAGGCACGATGAAGGAATGAAGGGTTTAGGGGCTTAGGGTTTAGGGTTTAGGATAGCGGGGCTATCATTACGAATATTGTTTCTTATAAACTGTTATTGTTGTGATTCATATTCTTAGTGTCATCATTAGTATCTTTATTAGCATTATAATATTACCTCCTGATAGCAGTAACAGCGATTGCAATAGCAACAGGCTTTTCTTACTGTATCACTATTAGTGGTTTGCGGGACCGCCTGAGCCAAGACTGGCAAGGGCTGGGGAGTTCAGAAGATAAACGGAAACTGAAAGGTATACATATATATATATATACTTATACACATAGATGTATACATTCATGCTGCAGGAGGAACTTGAAATTGTGGCGTGGAAGTGGTGGATACCCAATTACCGTAGCCTTCAAAAGACAAGATTCGGAGTAGTGCTGGCGCGGGAGGGCTTTTGAGCCTGAATAACAGGAATTCGTGTACGGTCCCAAGGGTTTCTGGCTTATGGCTCAGTGTTTAGGGCTGCCAGTTCCTTAAAACTGAACTTCAGAGACATTTGGTCATGGGCAAGATCCATCTCCAGGATTGATTGAAAATGAAGCGATCAGATCAAACCCAAAACGCCGCAAATCCCCAACCCCTAATTAAACTCTAAAATCCAAACCCCCAAGCCCTAAACAAATCAAACTCTGAGCCCACAAAACCCCCAAAGCCTAAACCCTTAGGGTTTAGGGACCCAAAACCCACAAAGACACCAAAACTTCTTGCAGGTTGGTTGCTTCTGCCATAGGAGCCGGCATTGCCGAGGCCTCTCTTTGCCCTTTCATTGGGTGTTTCATGGGCCATTTGAAGGCGTTAGTTATAGGGGTTATATAGGGGTGTATAGGGTATCAATGAAAAACGACATGGACACTGGTGGTATTTGGTTTTTGTGAGGCCTGGAGAGTTACGAGCCTTGACCACTGATAATCCCTAAATTCCATCCTTGTCTGCGACTGTAAATCTCGTCTCACCTTGGCTGCACATACTTCAGCCAGTGTCACCCTGTTCTCATTAGCTTATCATGCCCCTACATTATGGAGATGCTACAGCATTTTGTAGTCAGAAACATAAGGGGCTAGAGATGGCTTGGAGTTGATGGCGTTCTCCAGATTGGGCTCGCTTTCTGGCAGTCTTTGGCTGCCAGTTACATTTGCGGGAGAGTAAGAGGACCTTAGTTATGCCGAATGTTGCAAGGTACGTGAGGATGTTATGGCCCTAAACTCTAAACCCTGACGTAAACCCTACTTGGAGGGTCAGCGAGACTTAGTAATGTGGCACCCCTTTTAATGATGGGGGGTCCTCCCCCCCTGAACAATTACCATTCCTGATTAATGCGGCGGCCTCCCCTAAATTTGCCGCGCAATTAAAATCATATGGAACCCTAGAA